GGAAAGGATCACTGAACCGGCAATCCTGAAATCGCTTTGTTTACACTGATCAGTGCAGCCCCAGCAGTGCCCATCAGTGCAGCTTAACAGTGCCTATCAGTTTCCATCAGTGCATCCTCGACAGTGCCCATCAGTGCAGCCTCATTAATGCCTATCAGTGCAGCCTCACCTGTGCTCATCGGTGCCCATAAGTGCAGCCTCACCAGCACACATCAGTGAAGAAGAAAAATTACTTATTTGCAAAATGTTATAACAGAAAAATGAAAAAAAAGTGTGTTGTTTTTTCAGGATTTTCTGTCTTTTTTTCATTTGTTTAGCAAAAAAACCCCCCAAAAACCCAGTGTTGATTAAATACCACCAAAAAAAGCTCTATCGCTTTAAAAAAAAAAAAAAAAAGATACAGATTTCACGTGGGTACAGTGTTACATGACAACGCAATTGTCAATCAAAGTGCGACAATGCTGAAAGCTAAAAAAATTGGCCTAGGCAGTAAGGGGGTGCCCAGTATTGAAGTGGTTAATTTGTCACACCATGGCAGAATGGGTAAAATCATGTTAAAGACATCTTTGCAGTGCAGCAGTGGACTCCTTTACTGAATCAAGCTTGTGGAGCAGATGGCTGGAGCTTTATCTGTAATGGCCTGCTGAAAGCCTCTTGGCTTGTATCCTGAACTGATCTTTAATTAATACACAGATGCAGAGCACTGGTTAAAATGCAGGTCTGCAGACCCTGAATTCAAGGAGCACCAGACATGGACTTTGTGGGCTAGAACTTCTTGATACCTGCTCTTGATATTTTCAAGGATTTCAGTAGAAGCAAGAGCTCCTACCTGTCTCAGATTAAAGCTGAATTTTAGAATTTCTGTTAAAAGTACCATTGCAGTGGCCCCCCTCACTGCTTGTTGAAGCGGAGCTCCAGTCCCCATAATTCTTTTTTTTTTTTTTTTTAAAAAACTCTCCTGTGTTTTTTACAACTTGCACATTTATAATGTTATAACTGGATAATGTTATAACTGATATCATGCTTGTTGGTTGTAAATCTGTAATATGTTACCTTGATCTCGGAAATAGGTAGGGGCCAAGAAAGATGTGGGCATCTGAAGCCCGCTAGTGTATTTTTCCGGGATTAGGTGTTGCTGGCTATCCCAGCATGCACCTCCTGATCCCGCGCCTGCACAGTAATGACACTGCGGAGCGCAGTTCGTTCACTACAGATTGCCATAGCGATGGCGACAACAGATGAAGAAACTTTCCAAAGTCTGAAGGAGCCCCTGTGTAAACAGCCTGTGCTGGTAGCCCCAGACTTTAACAGAGAATTCGTACTCCAGACCGATGCCTCAAGTGTACTGTAGGTCTGGGGGCTGTCTTGTCCCAAGTGGCAAGTGAAGAACAACACCCAGTGATCTATTTAAGTCGGAAGCTGACCCCTGCAGAAAAAAATTATAGTATTGTGGATTGAGAGTGTTTGGCCATTAAGCAAGAGTGTTTAGCCCTGGAGCCTCGGCAGTACTACTTGCTGGGGAGACACTTTGGACTCATAACAGACCACGCTCCCTTAAAATGTATGGCCTAGGCTAAGGACCATAATACAAGGGTTACCCGTTGGGTCCTAGCCCTTCAAGATTTTTCTTTTAAAATGGAGCACTGGCCTGGTTGCAATCAGAAAAATGTGGATGCCCTTTCTAGAACTCATTGTTTAGTAGCTGGTGTTCGAACCCACAGGTTCAAACGGAGGTGGGAGGTATGTGACAAACAGCCCCTGTCATTTGTGGACAGAGTGTATCTGTCACATAGAATTTTGAGATTCTTAAGCTAAATGGGTGGCAGTATGAGGATAACCTTATGTGGATTGGGATTACCTCTCTGTGAGCATCCCACTTGAAGCTGAACCCTACAATGTACATCGCTGGATTTTGATCTGTAGCTCACCTCCAGTTGTGCTTGTTTTCGCTATATTGGCTCTATACAATATGACCATACTCTTAAGAGTATGCTATTTAGCAAGTACGAATTTGTCGATCTGCAAGGAAGAGTAAGGTTTTTTGTTTTTTTTTAGGCAAAAGTTTGCAATGAATATGTAAAGGTAATATGGTTATACTTCCTAAGTATCTCATGTGTTGTATACTATATATGGAGACCATCTGGGATCTGCTCTCCATTTCCACTGCATATTGCAGGTCAGTGCTGAAAAGGGCTGGGATGCCTGAAGGGCTTAAAAGGACAGGAATGCCTAAAGCTGTTGTAGTATACTTTTAATAGAAGTACAGTTGTGTTCAAAATAATAGCAGTGTGTTGAAAAAAGTGAATAAAGCTCAAAATCCTTCTAATAGCTTTTATTTCCATACACACAAATGCATTGGGAACACTACACATTCTATTCCAAATCAAAACATGAAGAAAAATATATCAAATTTGTGTTGTTCCTCTAAAAAAATTGAAGAAAAGTGAATATTAGACTGTTCAAAAAAATAGCAGTGTTTGTATTCTTCTTTACAAACTCAAACATTCGCTATATAAACTGAAAATTGTTTGAAGATTTTGCTTTCCTTTGAATCACTTAATTAATATTTAGTTGTATAAGCACTGTTTCTGAGAACTGCTGTACATCTGTGTTGCATGGAGTCAACCAACTTCTGGCATCTGTGAACAGGTATTTCAGCCCAGGATGATTGGACTACATTCCACAGTTCTTCTCTATTTCTTGGTTTTGCCTCAGAAACTGCATTTTTGATGTCACCCCACAAGTTTTCTATTGGATTAAGATCCGGGGATTGGGCTGGCCACTCCATAACGTCAATCTTGTTGGTCTGGAACCAAGATGTTGCAGGTTTACTGGTGTGCTTGGGGTTGTTGTCTTGTTGGAACACCCATTTCAAGGGCATTTCCTCTTCAGCATAAGGCAGCATGACCTCTTCAAGTATTCTGATGTATTCAAACTGATCCATGATCCCTGGTATGCGATAAATAGGCCCAACACCGTAGTATGAGAAACATCCCCATATCATGATGCTTGCGCAACCATGCTTCACTGTCTTCACAGTGTACTGTGGCTTGAATTCAGTGTTTGGGGGTCATCTGACAAACTGTCTCCGGCCACTAGACCCAAAAAGAACAATCTTACTTTCAACAGTCCACGAAATGTTGCGCCATTTCTCTTTAGGCCAGTCAATATGCTCTTTGGCAAATTGTAACCTCTTCAGCATGTCTTTTTTTTCAACAGTGGGACTTTGCGGGGGCTTCTTGCAGATAGCTTGGCTTCACATAGGCGTCTTCTAATTGTAACAGTACTCACAGGTAACTTTACACCTTCTTTGATCTTTCTGGAGCTGATTGTTGGCTGAGTCCTTGCCATTTTGGCTATTCTTCTATCCATTCGAATGGTAGTTTTTCGCTTTCTTCCACGTCTTTCAGGTTTTGGTTGCCATTTTAAAGCATTTGTGATCATTTTAGCTGAGCAGTTTATCATTTTCTGCACTTCTTTATATGTTTTCCCCTCTCCAATCAACTTTTTAATCAAGATAGGCTGTTCCTCTGAACAATGTCTGGAACGGCCCATTTTCCTCAGAATTTCAGAGAAATGCACTGTAACCAGCATGTACAACATTTGCTGCCTTCCTTCCTTAAATAAGGGCAATAATTGCCACCTGTTTTTCAAAGAATGAATGACCTCACTAATAGAACTCCACACTGCTATTATTTTGAAAATGCCCCTTTCAATTAGTGATTCAATTACACAGAATCAGCAGCATGCATGTCATGACTGTTGGGTCTATTGGATTTCTATTACTCTACTACACCTGCTAGTAAATTATTTGCCATGTAGAAATATAATTTCTACCAAAAACAGTGATTGATCAGGTTAATGATGTCTGACTGCTATTATTTTGAACACAACTGTATGTAATTTTCCTCTCTTTGCTATAAACTTTTTGTATTCTGTCTAATTTGGTGTTTTTGAGGAAACACCTGGTTACGTGCATAGATGCTATCTTTACCTGTTGGTGTTGTCCACCCTCTAAAATGTTAAAGGCTGAGTTCATCTTTAGAAAAAAAAAATAATAAATAAACATTTTATTGCAGGTAAAAAAAATTTAGCATTTATTATTTTTTTCTTAGGAGCCTGTAAAGCATTGCATCACGTATGCAATGCCAGGCTCCTGCAGACTGTCAGTTTAGCTGTCTGCCTGTATTTCTGATACAGGCAGACAGCTTCTAACGTCCAGGAAGATCAACGAGCTATGAGAGTTCTTCTCTAGTGTGAATTTTCATATTGCTTCCCCAGTTTTTAATTTAGCATCTTCAAACTGTTATTTGTTTGGATTTTCTTCTATCAAATCTGTTGGGTATCTCAGTAGCTGTTGCCCTCCCCTTTGTGTTTGTTGTACCTGTGCGCTGCTTGTTCACAAAACTGAAGCATGATGGTTAGGGGTGGGGTTACAGTAGCTGGCATTCAACATTTCTTTCTGTTGCCAGTGTCCACCTCTAGTAGGCAGCTGCATATAACCCACACTTCTAAAAAATGCTATGTTTCTCTGTACCTTAATGGATTCAAGGACAAGATTTTATGGTAAGTATAAAATTATACAAGGTTCTTTTTAATATGGTAAAAATGGAATATTGCTTGCAAACATTTCATATTTACCATTTGCATGCAACAGGTGGCACTCTATCTCTAGGGCCTTTATGTGGGGCTGTTGTGCTAAAAAAAAAAACAATCTGAATAGCACATGCCCTCTCTTCTAGCTGCGATCAATATGCCTTAACTTGTGAATTCACACAAGCTGCCAAATAAGCACACAGGCAGCACTGGACTTTCCTATAAAATAATCAGTGTGCTTTTAAAACAAATGATAGGTATATTTATTTTTAAAATAAAGATTTTATGCAAAAATATGAAACATGGGTATAAATATATTGATTGCAGTTTGTCAGTATTGCTTCTTAATGCTAAATATTGTGCTTATAGGCATTTTTACATATGCTATGTTTTCTGCAACATAGGAACAATTCTTTCAGATTTCTGCTTCTGAGATATTTATGGTGAATGTTTTACAAGAACAACTTCAGAACATTATGACCACACTGTGCCCACCAAGAAAACCAATAAGTAAGTGTTTATTTAATATGCTGTACATGTTATATAAGGCTTCCAGTGCTTTTGCTTCCTGTGAACTAGTTTCCCTTTGTTAACGTAAACCTGTGCCCAGAGAATGCAAACTAAAATATATATGCTAAATCGGCAGTAAAATCATTTTTAAAACATGCCTTCATCTCTATAGCTATAAGCATTGTGGAGAAATTAACCTTCAATTAATCTCATAAAAACTGTTAGAATTTTTCAGAAATAAATACCGTATTTTTCGCTCCATAAGACGCGCTTTTTTCCCCCAAAAAAAGGGGGGAAAGTGTCAGTGCATCTTATGGAGCGAATATGGAGCGGCCGGTCCGGTATTTCCACCACCGCCGTGTCAGAATACCGGGCCGGCCACTCAGCTCTGCAACGGGACCTTACCTGTTCCTCTATCCAGCAGCATGCTGTCTTCCCGGCTTCTGTAGTGTGGGCGCTCAGCTTGACAGCCGGGTGCCAAGTGCGCATGAGCAAAAAGTGGTGCTCTTTGTGAATGGTAAGGCGGCACCTGGGACACATGACAGGTCCCAGAAGCTGCCGGACCACTCACAAAGCGCAATGCTTCTCGCTCATGCGCACTGGGCACCCGGCTGTCAAGCCGAGCACCCACACTACCGAAGCCGGGAAGACAGCGCGCGTCTGGATACAGGAACAGGTAAGGTCCCGCTGCAGAGCAGACACTAACCAAAGAACAACTCCGCGGAAGTAAGAGCGGGTACCTGTCAAATTCAGGTACCCGCTCCCCCCCCCCCCCCAAAGGTCAGCAGTTATCTCCTGTACTGGCCACAGTCTCTGGTCATCTCCTGTACTGGCCACAGTCTCTGGTCATCTCCTGTACTATGTCCACAGTCTCTGGTCATCTCCTGTACTATGTCCACAGTCTCTGGTCATCCCCTGTACTATGTCTGTAGTCCATTGGTTCAGAATATTTTTTTTCCCGTTTTCTGCCTCTAAAACCTAGGTGCGTCTTATGGAGCGAAAAATACGGTACTTCATAATACACAATAATTGTCAGTGAGGGCTTGTTTTGAAGCTCTTTTACTGCTTATGAATATGCTTAAAATACTTTGAGGTCCATATTCTGGACACAGCTGCACTTCAGGGCCTGTTTGCACCATCAATATCCGTTATGTCCTCCATTAACTTGCATTGTGTGAGTTTTTTTCATTTGAATGTACTACCTAGTGCACAAAAAAGTGCTTGCAGAATTTTTTTCAAAGCACATTTGTTGGCAAGCTGCATTGGGGGTGACATTTAGAAAGAATGGCACCACATTGTACCAGCGTGCATAATGTGTGTTGCAGTAATGTGCATGTTACAGTAGTGTGGTGTTGTAAACAGTCCCTTAAATTGAACTTTCTTGAACTTATTGTAAACCTAAAATGTGAAAACAACCAAGGGTATGACAAAAATTCTGCAGTAAAGTGGCCCAATGATTAGACCATGATGGAAGCAACTCCCCTGTCCTCATGTTTTATATACTACTTGTGAGACGGTAAAGCTGATTTTGCACATCAAGTTACTGCATCATGAGTTGGGGAATGGTGATTTCCAACAAAGACTAATCACAAAGGTTTTGCTTCAAGGCACCAGAAAACCCAGCTTCTTCGCTTAAATCTGGCAGTTCTAGCCAAACTTGTGTAATACCAAATGTGAAAAATCCATCAATTTGGTAAAAAAATTGGATTTGGTACATGGCTATATTGAATGTTTATCATACTGAACGGCGGGGTTAATTGTCGGTAGTCAGACAGTTTTACTTTTCGGACATGCCTTGGTTTACCGTGAAATTTGTACAGTATTAAGTAGCCAAATTGTAGTTTAACAAAAAAATGATCTATTGTGTGTACAGTAAAAAGGTATATGGTAAATAAATATCTTAAAGTGATAGTAAAGTTTGTTTTTTAAAAAATGGCTAACAGGATATTTATGACAGAAGAGCTGTCATGTACACTGAGCCACCCATGCACAGCTGAGCGAACATTTACGGCCCCGATCTGTGCTATTGCAATATGACTCCCCTGTGCATGCGTGGGAGTGAGGTCATCATGGCAGGCCATTCAAGCGGCCAAAGGCACTGAACTTGGGAGGAAGAATGAGCAAAGGTGGACTGGCCAGATCAATAACAGTGCAGCGCTGGAGGGCTATGTTTGAAAGGTAAGTGTGCCATAATGTGCTAATATGCAATGCATACTAGTACATTATGACCTAACCCACCTGGGGGCCCCTAAAAAGAAGTAGTGTTAGCAGAGTTTACTACAGCTTTAATAATCTGATTGTTTTTCATTGCTCTCCAGCATCTTTATAAATGTTATTACCTGCCATTTGCTGCAGAGGAGAACAACATCTATGTTTTTTTATGAACAATGTTTTCTCTGCGGAGAGGGGTGGGGGCTGTCATGAAGGACCAGTGCAGAGACTCCACTACTAACACACAAATGTCAGCAGTCCTTTGCTGTAGCATAGGATTAGCCACTGCCATCACCTACATTGTGGATCAGTTAACCACTTGCCTACCAGGCACTTATACCCCCTTATTTACCAGGCCAATTTTCAGCTTTCAGCGCTGCCGCACTTTGATTGACAATTGGGCGGTCATGCAACATTGTACCCATATGAAATTTTGATCATTTTTTTCTCACAAATAGAGCTTTCTTTTGGTGGTATTTAATCGCCACTGGGTGCTTTACTTTTTGCGCTATAAATTAAAAAAGTGCAAAAAATTTGAAAAAAAAAAAAGTTTCTTTGTTTCTATTATAAAATTTTTCAAACAGGTATTTTTTCTCCTTCACTGATGTGCGTTGATGAGGCAGCACTGATGGGCACTGATAGGCGGCACTGATAGGCAGCACTAAAGGGCACTGATAGGCAGTACTAATGAGGCGGCACTGATAGACAGCACTAATGAGGTGTCACGGATAGGCGGCACTAATATGCAGCACTGATAGGCGGCACTGATAGGTGACACTGATGATGGGTACTGATAGACGGCACTGACTGGCATCACTGCTGGGCACTGACTGGCACAACCCCTGGGCACTGACTGGCAGCACTGCTGGGCTGCACTGGTGGCACTGGGCAGCACTGGTGGGTGGGCACAGGTGGTTGGCACTGGTGGGCACAGGTGGGTGGGCACAGGTGGGTGGCACTGCTGGGCACAGGTAGGTGGCACTTCTGGGCACAGGTGTGTGACACTGCAGAGTGGCACAGGTGGGTGCACTGCTGGGCACAGGTGGGCGGAGCTAGTGGGCGCACTGCTGGGCACAGGTGGGCGGAACTTGCGGGTGGCATTGCTGGGCACCGATCATCAGGGCGCTGCCCACCAGTGCCCTGATGATCGGTGCCCATCCCCGCTCTGACAACTGCCAGTTCTCGGCAGTACTTTCCTCACGATCTGACAGCGTGAGGAAAGTGCAGCCAAGAACCGGCACTTGCATTTCCCTGTGATCAGCGTGTCATTGGACACCGCTGATCACGTGGTAAAAGGCCGGTATGATTGGCCTTTTACCACATCTTGTGATCAGCTGTGTCCGTAGGACACAGCGATCACGGAGATCGCCGGGTGCGCGCCCCCTGGGGCGCGCAGGAGAGTGCGTTCTGGGAGGACGTCATATGACGTCCACTCAGAGCTGGCCGGCCGCAGTTTAGCCGTCATTCGGCTATCTGCGGTCGGCAACTAGTTAAAAAGCGAGCTACAGTTGGGATTTAAAGTGGAAGTAAACTCGTTTTTGTGATTTTTACCAACAGGTAAGCTTATAATAAAGCTTACCTGTAGGTGAAATTAATAGCTCCTAAATGTGTACCGTTTAGGAGATAAACTATCAAGCAGCAGCCGATGATATCACCAGCGCATGTGCACTAATAGAACAGCATTTCCGTTCCTTCAGATCTTTGTGCCATGCCTAGGGGTTCCCGCCACACATTTGCAGGAGTGACGTCATCACGGTTCGGCCAGTCAGACAGCCAGAGCCCATGATGGGAAGGCCAGGTGAAGATGGAAGCCCTGTCAGCGGTGACAGCGCGTCGCTGGAGGGCTTCGTTTTAAGTTTTTCATATTGTGCTACTATGCAGTGCATACTAGCATATTGTGATATTGCCTTGCAGGGGGAAAACTTTTTTTTTTTTAAGCTTTACGACCTCTTTAAAGACCTGATCCCTGTAGTAGTTTTTCTAGTCTACCTAAGGGTAAGCGCTCATTTATATGGAGACCATACTTTTTTCTTTTTTTTTTGTAGACTTTCTTTATTATGTTAATATATTTCCTTTTAACCAAGTAAATCTGAAATGCTGAATTAAATATATTATAAATATCTAAACTTTCAGATACAAAAATTCAGAAAATAAATTACATAAGGTTTTGCTTCAAGGCACCAGAAAACCCAGCTTCTTCGCTTAAATCTGGCAGTTCCAGCCAAACTTGTGTAATACCAAATGTGAAAAATCCATCAATTTGGTAAAAAAATTGGATTTGGTACATGGCTATATTGAATGTTTATCATACTGAACAGCGGGGTTAATTGTCGGTAGTCAGACAGTTTTACTTTTCGGACATGCCTTGGTTTACCACGAAATTTGTACAGTATTAAGTAGCCAAATTGTAGTTTAACAAAAAAATGATCTATTGTGTGTACAGTAAAAAGGTATATGGTAAATAAATATCTTAAAGTGATAGTAAAGTTTGTTTTTTAAAAAATGGCTAACAGGATATTTATGACAGAAGAGCTGTAATGTACACTGAGCCACCCATGCACAGCTGAGCGAACATTTGCAGGAGTGACGTCATCACGGTTCGGCCAGTCAGACAGCCAGAGCCCACGATGGGAAGGCCAGGTGAAGATGGAAGCCCTGTCAGCAGTGACAGCGCGTCGCTGGAGGGCTTCGTTTTAAGTTTTTCATATTGTGTTATTATGCAGTGCATACTAGCATATTGTGATATTGCCTTGCAGGGGGAAAACTTTTTTTTTTTTTTTAAGCTTTACGACCTCTTTAAAGACCTGATCCCTGCAGTAGTTTTTCTAGTCTACCTAAGGGTAAGCGCTCATTTATATGGAGACCATACTTTTTCTTTTTTTATTGTAGACTTTCTTTATTATGTTAATATATTTCCTTTTAACCAAGTAATTCTGAAATGCTGAATTAAATATATTATAAATATCTAAACTTTCAGATACAAAAATTCAGAAAATAAATTACATAAGCTTGACTAAAACCATAATAATTATCCACCCAGTACTTTTATTTGCTGCATTATATATACACCATCATTACTAGTGTTGGCCATTACTAAAGACTGCTGCAAGTAAAGCTGTGTGGTTGCTGCACACTTCCAGCATCTATTACCATAGTGAAATTCCCAGGGAGAATTGCTTTTTCAACCTGGTAGTTTTGGCAGCTGTTGATCAGTCTTTCCTTGCAGATGTAGGTGCTCCTTGTTTGAAGTATAACATTCATTATAATTATTTGCATCAAGATCTTTTGTCACAATTTGACATTGTTTTGATAGCTTTACATATTTCAGATGTCCTCCACTGATACTATAGTCACTGGACAGGTCATAAAAGTAGATTTATTCTTTTAATAGCAGTCTATGTAATACTGGACATATTTATAATTATAACAAAAATGATAAATTGGGAAGCAGGAAAAATTAATGCAATGAATCCACATTCCGTATATCAAGGTTAACTAAAAAGAAGATACTTTTTTTATTTGCAACTATTTTATTTTGTCATTTATAATATAATGTAAATGAAAAATGCAAATCATATGCCCTTTTCTCTTAGTTTCTCTTAAATATAAACTAATTCTAGAATGTAATGTGTTGCGCTGCTGAAATTCTAAATAAATGCTTTACTATATCTGTTGTGTTGTTATTATCACAAAAATTCAGCAAACTCTGATATATACCGATAAACAAAATTAGCATGCATGAATGTCCGTATAGTGCCTATAATACAAATATAAAATTGTGCTTTCATCCACTTTCAGTGCAATCTTCCACATACATATGGGTAGTGATCCATATGTAGAGCTGCAACTAACAATTATTTTCATAATCAATTAGTTGGGCAATTATTGTTTCAATTAATCAGGTAAAAACCTAAAAAAAAATGTTGGTGTATGATTTAATTACTAGGGTTGCAGCAATACCGTTTTTGTATTGGCGTGTACGGGTACCGATACTTGTGCTCAAGCACTCGCTGATACCAATACCTTTGCTATGCGATCTGAGCCCATACTAAATGAATGGGCTCAAATCGCACTGCAAAAAAACCTCGTGTGCAAATGCTTAATATCGGCACCAATATAGATACCGGTACCAATATAGATACCGGTATCGGTGCAACCCTAGTTATTATGTAAAGTTAAAAAAAGACAATTTATTCTTACATATCTATATGGTAAATATAAATAACTGGGTGTATGGTTAGGGAACAAAATATCTAATCCACTCAGAGAATAACACAGAAGATATACAGGTATTGGACAAAAAAAATGGAAACCGTACATTGACACACGGAGTCACGGCTTGGCCCTGCTCCCTCTCTCTCCCCATTGACTGACTGGCTGTGATTGACAGCAGCAGGAGCCAACGGCTCCCACTTGCTGTCTCAGCCAGTAAGGAGGTAGAGACTTGGTACAGCCAAGGCTGTCGTACACATCGCTGGATCTTGTTGGGGCTCAGGTAAGTGTTGAGGGGTCTGGGGGTGCCGCTGTACACTGAAAGTTTTTTACCTTGAGCCTTTACAAGCACTTTAACTCAGAAACACATAGGTGCCGACATAGTGTAGTAATTAAAACCAACGTAAGATGTGTTAGGAAATGCACTCACAAGTAAAAAAAAATAATCACTTTAAATCAAAGCAGTCACTCGGGACATAAAACTTCACTGCTGCCACACTTCCAGTCCTCAGGTCTGGTGTTACCTGGATCTGCCCCGCAACGTATCGTCATAAGTCACGTGACTTCATAAGCCCCTTCATCAGATACTTTTGTTTATTGGTACAGACAGGTCCATAAATATTGGGACATCGACACAATTCTAACATTTTTGGCTCTATACACCACCACAATGGATTTGAAATGAAACGAACAAGATGTGCTTTAACTGCAGACTGTCCGCTTTAATTTGAGGGTATTTACATCCAAATCAGGTGAACGGTGTAGGAATTACAACAGTTTGCATATGTGCCTCCCAGTTTTTAAGGGACCAAAAGTAATGGGACAGAATAATAATCATAAATCAAACTTTCCCTTTTAATACTTGGTACTTGGTTGCAAATCCTTTGCAGTCAATGACAGCCTGAAGTCTGGAACGCATAGACATCACCAGACGTTGGGTTTCATCCCTGGTGATGCTCTGCCAGGCCTCTACTGCAACTGTCTTCAGTTCCTGCTTGTTCTTGGGACATTTTCCCTTCAGTTTTGTCTTCAGCAAGTGAAATGCATGCTCAATCGGATTCAGGTCAGGTGATTGACTTGGCCATTGCATAACATTCCACTTCTTTCCCTTAAAAAAACTCTTTGGTTGCTTTTGCAGTCTGCTTTGGGTCATTGTCCATCTGCACTGTGAAGCGGCGTCCAATGAGTTGTGAAGCATTTGGCTGAATATGAGCAGATAATATTGCCCGAAACACTTCAGAATTCATCCTGCTGCTTTTGTCAGCAGTCACATCATCAATAAATACAAGAGAACCAGTTCCATTGGCAGCCATACATGCCCACGCCATGACACTACCATCACCATGCTTCACTGATGAGGTGGTATGCTTAGGATCATGAGCAGTTCCTTCCCTTCTCCATACTCTTCTCTTCCCATCACTCTGGTACAAGTTGATCTTGGTCTCATCTGTCCATAGGATGTTGTTCCAGAACTGTGAAGGCTTTTTTAGATGTCGTTTGGCAGACTCTAATCTGGCCTTCCTGTTTTTGAGGCTCACCTATGGTTTCCATCTTGTGGTGAACCCTCTGTATTCACTCTGGTGAAGTCTTCTCTTGATTGGTGACTTTGACACACATACACCTACCTCCTGGAGAGTGTTCTTGATCTGGCCAACTGTAGTGAAGGGTGTTTTCTTCACCAGGGAAAGAATTCTTCGCTCATCCACCACAGTTGTTTTTCGTGGTCTTCCGGGTCTTTTGGTGTTGCTGAGCTCACCGGTGCGTTCCTTCTTTTTAAGAATGTTCCAAACAGTTGTTTTGGCCACGCCTAATGTTTTTTCTATCTCTCGGATGGGTTTGTTTTGTTTTTTCTGCCTACTGATGGCTTGCTTCACTGATAGTGACAGCTCTTTGGATCTCATCTTGAGAGTTGACAGCAACAGATTCCAAATGCAAACAGCACACTTGAAATGAACTCTGGACCTGTTATCTGCTCATTGTAATTGGGATAATGAGGGAATAACACACACCTGGCCATGGAACAGCTGAGAAGCCAATTGTCCCATTACTTTTGGTCCCTTAACAAGTGGGAGGCACATATGCAAACTGTTGTAATTCCTACACCGTTCACCTGATTTGGATGTAAATACCCTCAAATTAAAGCGGACAGTCTGCAGTTAAAGCACATCTTGTTCGTTTCATTTCAAATCCATTGTGGTGGTGTATAGAGCCAAAAATGTTAGAATTGTGTCGATGTCCCAATATTTATGGACCTGACTGTATATATCTGAGTTTGCTGAATTTGTGATCATAATAACAAAAGACACACTGGGAAGACCTAGCAAAGAGCTTATTTGGAATTTCAGCAGCACAACATATATTCTATTATTCATTGTAAATGGTGGGGGAACACACACCAAGGTGACTGCAGTAGCTGTTTAGTGTGTTAATTGAGTGTTTTATTTAATTTGGTGCCAGTGCATACTGTAAGTGTTTTGGTTTTTAATAAACTAATTCTGCAGTACGTTGCCATGCCATTTCACACATCTGCATTTTATTGCATCATGCTGCAGTGCAGCTATCGGTTGCATTGCAGTGTGAATGAGACACATAGGAAACAATTGTTTCCTGTGTGTCCTTGCAGTGACAGACATTTTACAATGTGGTATAATGTCTTACTGCAGTATGTGTGAATTCAGCCTCATACTCACCTAGATGGATGAAGCATCGACCTGATGCTGTCTGTGTCCCATGCCAGCTCTACACCGAAAACTGAGCGATCAAAGAACGCTGGTTGCTCTTTTCTTGGGTACACTCTGTGCACAGAGTGGTGATTGTCACTCACCGCTCTGTGCTCTGCCCCTCCACCGCTCACGTGAGTGCTGAGGGGGCAGGTTCGGTTGGCTCAGTCTCAGCAGCACACTGAGAGGCTGAGGCAGCTGTCAGTCAGGCATCTTGGCAGAGCCTTGACCAACTCTGAGACCCTAAAGTCTGCTGCCAGCTGAATCTGGGTCATAGAAGTGCAGCAGCAAGTACAACTCCTGTGACCCAAAGGAGAAGCATGGTAAAATGAGCTTTGTCCTACTTCTCCTTTCAGATCTTAGGTCATCATTTATATACTCTTGTTTGTTCAGCTGTACATTTGAAACCCCCTTTGTACTGCAGATCACAAAAGTTGATTTACCCTTTAAGAAGCAGTCTAATATGTGTTTCTGTGAATGTATATTCATTGGCATATTCAATGTTTATCTGTGATCCCTTTTTTTAGGTGAATATCCATGGATGGACTGCTGCATAAGATCATATCATTCCTGTGAAGGAAGAGAAGATCAAAATTTGTATGAAATCTTTGATACTCTGATTTCATAAAGAGGTTCACATTCATCCTCAAACCTCTGTAGATATCACAAATTTATTGCACCTTGCAGATGGAAAGCCCTGTGTGAAGGGCAGTATTCATTGTGATTGGTAAAAGGAGGTCAGCTGGATGAAAATAAGGATTGCAAACGAGTTGCTTGATACTCCTACTCAATGTCTAATTTGTGGCTGATAACATTAGATAGCAGCATTCATTCTGTGGTTCCTAAATCATTTACTTGATGCTGCTTTTTTGTTTTGGATGAAAAGAAGAAAACTACAAATGTGTGTAATTAAAATTTGATGTATAGATTTCTATTTCTTTATATGTATATAAATGTTTCTATTGAAGTATGGTTTCTGTTGTTTTCATTTAAATGTGTTCATCCTTCAGGTTATTTAGTGCATTTTCTTTAGACGTGTTATCTTTGGTTCAGTGGAGCAAAATACACAAGTCTGTAAAAAAAATGAATACGTTAAGGTGTGCATTTTGGTTTAAAGGTAGATTCTAAAATGTAACTAAAAGCAAAACATTTTTTCAGTTTTTTTGTTTTGCTGTTTTCGTTTTGGGTGGAGAGGGATTAGAACACCTGTCAGGTTTATATTGCTATCTGTGCTCTTGTTAGATAGATTCACCCTCTCTGTTTTTCTTGTTTAATTAAAAGTGAAAGAAAATCACAAATTTTGGTTTGTCACCAGAACAGGAATGAAGGAGAAATCTTCCAATTAGGACACTATTTCTACTGACTAACATTTCCCCTTAGTTTTGAAGAGATTTCCTCTCACTTCCTGTTTTGGCTAAGTAATTGGAACACAAATGGCAAATAAAAACCTGACAGGTGTTGCCTTTATTTCTACTCTAAGTATTTTGTTTGTTTGTATTATTCTGTTAGTCTTACACCACTTCAATAAATAGCCAGAGTACAAATAACCCCCTTAACTGATGGTAATAGAAATGTGTTTTTCTTTATCGTGCATCACAGGACACAGAGCAGCCATATTAACCTTTACTATTTGGGCATTCGCCACCTGCAGGTGATTGCACACTTGTGCAGGAAGTCCTCCCCTTTTTAACCCCTCCAGTACAGGAAGTTTTTTCACCAGTGCCTGAGGGTGATGGTCACTGATGTGAAGGCCTCTGCACAACACTACCAGAGACTTCGATGGTTCCAGTAGGGATCAAGAGATTAGTATTATCCAGAACCATTCCTATAGATATCATGCTCAGGAGATTGGTACCTGGGCCCCGCTGCAGTGGAAGGGAACGAGACATGGGGATTTTCTGTAATGCAAACTTTTTGCACTGGACCTTGCTTATACAGAACTCTGCACACACTCCAGAGAAAGAGTTTCCGGCAGAGTGCAGGTCCAGGGCAGTGAACCCCAGCAAAGGGGATTGAGTCACTAAAGGTCTAATGAGACTGTGCCTGCCAGGATGGGTGAAGAATTGATCCCAAATCTTGTTAAAGATGGATCCTGCAGTGAAATTGATGAGCATTCCTGCAGCCTGTAAGTGTAAATTCACATTTTTATACTTGCTGCCACAATAGGGAAGAGGTGGTAAGGGACTGAGAGCTGCCCTGTGTGGGCATTTATTTTTGTTTTTTTTGCTGTTGGGGCAGAGGGTTAACTTTTTAAACCTAGTTTTATTAGACAACCCTCTCACCTCCATAAGCAAGGCGAGAGCATGTAGTTATGTGTGTGCATGTGAAAAAACTCAGGTTCCCCAAATATGGCATTGGAAGGTGGGTCTTGGAGGCCATTTTCTCCCTGGTTCAAATAACACAACAGGGTGGCACCAGAGCAGAAAGAGGAAGCAACTGGGAGGCTTTTTCACTGTACATCAGCAGAGACACAGGGCAGGTGCTTCAGCTTTTTGGGGAACTTGCTTATAGAGGCACGTGAGTATACAGATTGGTGAAGGGCACAGGCTGCTGGGTGAACATCTTAAAGCAACCATTACATTTTTTGCCAATAGCACAAGGGTCCTCTCAGCTAATTTGGGACTGCTATCTTGGCACAAGTCCTGTTCCTAAATTTCAGCAGGCCACATGTCCAACAAAGGGTAGATAGGTGGGGGAGAACAGTGGGGAAGGGCTCATAAGTACCTCTGTCAGATCTAGAAGACTCCAGACATGGCCCCTCTGAAGCAGTTTCCCCTGAGAGACCAGGGGTTTCAGGAAATTCTAATCTCATTCTCTTATAAGGAATTTTGGGACACCAGAATATGTAATGATGGAGGATTTGTCATCCATTTTAGCTGGATTAGAGCATAAGCTCACTTATGTACTTGCTGCTATGAAAATAGAGCATAAGAAATACAGATCATCTTTCTCCTGTCCTCTCTACTGGGTTAGAGGAAGAATGGGTGGATGAAGTGAAAGCAGACAATGCTAGATTGGAATAGAGTGAGGTATAATATGTCCTATTTGAGGAACCCCAGGGTCAGAATGTAACCCAAACCTAGAAGATCTTAGTGAGTTTTCTGTCTAAAATGGTCTGCACGGATTTGAAGCTGCTGTTACCTGAGTCTGCATCATTAAAGATTCTGCCCAGTGTTAGTGGCATCTGTCACAAGGTTCTCAGTCGTTTCCCCCCACACTCTCGCCTAGAGGAAATGGAGTATGCATATTGGACTCATCTAAACAAGTTTTGTTCCACCAAAGAGGTTTACACATCTATACTCTATGAAGGAAAATTTCACCAAGAAGTGAACTATACCCTCAGTGGATGCAGCAATCGCCTATCTTCTCACATGTATGGTTGATGATGTCCCAGTCTTTAAAGTAGAAGTTCATCTTTAGGAGCATGCTACATGTTACAGTCATATTTAGGGTGTAATGTGCCCCTATACACCTACCTCCCACTGCCAGTGCTCCCCTCTCTGTGACAGCAGGCGGAGAATATTCTCCCCACACCCACTGTCACAATTTGAAAACCGTATGGCCGTGCGGGGCTCCACCCACACGGCCAAAACATCAGTTTCCTCTGAATGAATAGACTACAAGTATTGTCAGCTGTGGCTGACATCTTGAATTCTTAATGAATTGAGAGGGTGAGTGCTCTCATAATCCATTGATTCTTCCTGCCATTCAGTAACTACCTGCTTGTACAGGAGGTACGGGCAGACAGCTTACTGACAGGCTGCAGGAGCCTGACATTGCATCTGTAATCTGCTGATCATGATTGCAATACTTTACAGGATGCAATGAAAAAAAAATTAAAATAAATGCACATTTTTTTACCTGCATTTATTTTATTTTTTTACAAAATTGAACTTGGGCTTTAAGGATCCAGCTGATAAACAGTTGGAGACATTGCTAAAGACATTAATTTGCTTTGGTTAGGGCTGCTATGCAGCCAGCAGTAGCAGCTATTGGCATCTTCCAAAGCCATAATGGGTAAATGAACCAACAATTTCTAGGAGAATGGACTCTACTGGCAGTGTGTTAGACCTGGGGGAAGGTTTAGTGGATTTCCCTCAGGCTCTTTGTTTTTCTGTGGATGATTTGAAAGATTCCATTCAGCAAATGTTGCGCTTCGGACTTTTGTCAGTACATATGCAAAGAATCCTTTGGCTAAAATGCTGATCTGCAGAATTGCCTTCTTCTTTTACCTGTGTAAGATGGTTAGCGTGCATCTCCAAAGGGTGACTCCTTCGACGTAGAGGACTAATGGGTCAGTTGTACACTTGCTTGCCGTTACAAACCAGAAATCTAGGACTCTCCCTCTACACATTTTATGCTTTCAAATATTTCTATGAATCCTGAAAAAAAAAAGGTAATTTCTGTTTCATGCACTCAATCAGCTTGTTTTTCAAAGGGTAATCTTGCCAGTTCAAGAGAAGGAAAAGTTTCACAGGTTCTTCTCTAATCTGTTCACGGTGCAAAAGTCAAACAGCGATGTTTCGCCCATACTAAACCTCAAATATCTGAATTAGTTTCTCCAGATACAGAAGTTTTGTATGAGTCTGGCATTAATATTATTTATTATTACAATCTAAGAGGCATCAGTGAACATAAAGGATGCATACTGTACATGTCCTGATCTTCCCTCCTCAGCAAAGGTTTCTACATTTTGCAGTAGAAGACCAGCATTTTCAGATTATGGCCTTACTATTTAGTCTGTCCACAGCACCAGGTACACCAGATGTGGATCTGCTAACATGTAGGTTCAATGCAAAATTGTACACATTTCTTTCCAGGACCAGGGATCCTCAGGCCTTTGCAGTAGATGCCCTGATGACACCATGGGAGCAGTTATCTGATTTATGCCTTCCCTCCAATACAGTTTCTTCCATGCCTGTTATGCAGGATTTGGGGGGGGGGGGACAGTGGCGATTCTTGAGTACCAGTTTGACCCAGGAGAACTTGGAATTCCAACACCGTAAACATATCGGTTTGGTCAGACCTGCTTGCACAAGGACCGATCTGCCATCCTTCTTTATGGTTGCTGACTTTAACAGCTTGGCTATTGAAACCACAGTCTTGATGGATGGGGAGTGTCTGGTGCAGTCATCCCCTTGCTATTGTGAGCCAGGAAGGATGCTTCAAGGAGATTTCCCACAGGAACTGGAAAGCCTATGTGGCATGGTGTGAGGCTAGGAAGTTTGGGAGCTGGATTTTGGCTTTCTTTCAGTTCAGAGATGATATGAGACTTGCCTTGAGTATGATCAAGGGACAAATTTCAGCTATGGCAGTCCTGTTTTAAACTGCATCTCATTCCTTGGTGTGTGCTTTTGTTCAAGGTGTCACGTACACGGTCAGGTCACCTTTATCCCTGTGGTACCTCAGTTTGGTGTTATCATGCTTACAGAGACTACCTTTCAACCAATTCAGGACCTTCCATTAGTCCTTTTGACTTGGAAGAATGTGTTAGTTGCTATTACTTTGGCATGAAGACTGTGTCAGAATTGTGGCCCTTTCTTTCAAGGACCCATTTCTGGTACTGCACCATGACTTGGTGGTTCTTCGACCTCAGCCTATGGTGGTTTCTTCTTTCCAACTGAACCA